AATGAGCTTGTTGTTTCTTTACTTCAACACTGCAGTTCGACTGATATAAAGAAAAACGTTTCACGTTTTATGTTGTAACCTAGGTTTTTAAATGCCCTTTTGATACTGAAAACTACCATACGGATTCGTGACGACTTTTTGTTTTCTGTACTTCATTTTATGTAATTTGTATAATGTTCCTTTTCAGGACGACATTCTGGGTAGATGTTAATTATATTCGAAAAACAAAGCAAACAACAACAACAAATATATCATTGCCGTAGGAAGCAATTTGGAGTGGTCAGGCCATTGCCACAGCTAAATAATGTGACACTCGATGTGTGAAAAGCACACTATTGCCATGCAAAGCATGCCATTTCTAGGGACGTCTGGGGGCATGTCCCCCAGAAAATGTTTGAAAATGTAATGCTATGAGATTGAATCATCCATTTTAGCTATAAATACTGCATACACACAGCGTATTGTATTGAATTAAAAGAAGAAAGTTTTAATACATGCCATGAAAAAATGGTCAGGCCATGGCCTGACTGGCCTTACTGCTTCATAAGGTCCTGTATATATATATATATATATATATGTACATAAAGAAAACTTCCTTTTCCCTCTTTTCGGAAATATTTTATTTCAAAGTTTGGTGTGTTAAGCGCAAAGTTGTTTTATGGGCTACCTGCTCTGTGCCTATCGCAGAATCGAACCACGAATGTTAATATTATAAGCCCTTCAGGCTTACTTGACTGCTAAATCCTTGTTTCATGGTCTGTCAGAGTCCAAAATAACTACTGTAATCCTTTGGTTTGTAGAAAATGGTAATTCTCCGCTAAGTTTTCAAAGTTAATATATGTTCCAGCACATATTACTTTTGATGCTGTGGTGATAATCAGAACACGAGCTTTTTATGGTTTTTTTTTTCTTGCTTTAAATAAATATTCGGAAAACGTTATTGTTATGGTATTGACACATCTTAAACGACAATCGTTAAATTCTAGGCTCAGCTTCGTATATGGAGTTTCAATATTGTTTTGTGCATTTGTTTCAATATTTCTGTGAAATTACTAGCGAGTGTATTCCCGTCTGTAATTGTAGTGTTTACGTAAAATATTTAAACAAAGGTAAAATGTTCAGAAAGTAATTACTTACCATCCATCATTTTCGTGATGACAGTAAATTACTTTTTTTTCCTCATAAAAAAAAAAAACACAGTCAGTTCAAGGTTGAGTATAACATAAACTTTTTTGTTGTACTTCCTTTTAACCTAATCAGTACACTCGTCTAGAATAGTAGTTAAAAAAAACTACAGGAACACACGATTGTGTATTTATTTGGCTGTTCGTAGTCTTTACGTTAAATTCAAGCCTCTGTATTCTAACGAGTTGTATTTATTTAGCGTTTTGTTTAAAGTTGGTTTCATTGAAATAATCCTCTCTCACCAACGGTGATCCTAGATTTGAAAAATATATAAACTGGTTGTGTGAAGTAAAGTGAGTTTTGATACTTTAACTCAAGAATTTGGTGTAATATATATATATATATATTCTTCTTCTTACTGAGTGACGGTGCAAGGTTTTTCCCTAAAACATCCTAAAAAAGTAAAAATTGCTTCAATATATGTTTGTGTGCACTGTATATTAAGGTTGGTTTAAATGTTTGTTTGTTTTAGGGCAAAGCCAGATAACCAGTCATTTGCGCTCTGTCCACCGCGGGGAATCGAATCCCGGATTTTAGCGTTATAAGTACGTAAACTTACCGCTGACCCGCCGGGTGACTTGATGTTAATGGTGAAGATACTCGTAATGATATTTTGTGTCCTAAATTCAGAATTATGTATATACATATACTCAGAATGAGCCACTCATTTATTGTAGTGTCCTCTAAAGGTCTCCCGGTGGCTTCAGGGCTTATAACACTATAATTCAGGGCTCGATCCCCTTAGCAGACATAGTGGTAATAGCCTATTATTTCAGCTTTGCGCTTAAAATAAACAAATTAAAATCACTTTAAGATGCTAACTAAGCCAGATCCTCAGGTCTGTAAGAATATTTTTATTTGAGGGGGGGATTAAACAGCTGTGTGGTAAAAGAAAAACGCATAAATAGCTAATAGCTAATAAAAAAGTAATTTAGAGCAATAGAACCCAAAGATTAAGGCTTAAAGTAAAATTTTAAGCACTATTCTATTAAACAGCGTAGTTACATTAAACTGATAAACATAAAGCATGTAACTGACTTAATTAAAGTAAAACTTGTGGTTAAAAAAAAGGATATTGGACTTTTGGAATAGAATACCTAATTGGAGGAGAATGACACTTAATAGTTATTTGAAAGTGGCGTGACATTACTGTTAAGACTGTGTATAATAATATTTCAGTAATTTAGATCATTGTTAAATTCTATTCTGAGGCAGTATTACATTCTTATTACCGCCAGGTGTCATGCTCCGCCAATTAAGGCGTTCTACGCTATAAAACCTGATGTCTTATAAACAACATAGCGTAGGCTCGGCATGGCCAGGTGGTTAGGACGTTCGACTAGCAATCTGAGGGTCGCAGGCTCGAATCCCCGTCAAACCAAATAAGATCGCCCTTTCAGCCGTGGGGCGTTATAATGTGACGGTCAATCCCACTATTCGTTGGTAAAAGAGTTGGCGGTGGGTGGTGAAGACTAGCTGCCTTCCCTCTAGTCTTACACTGCTAAATTAGGGACGGCTAGAGATCAGTGAAATGGGGGCATATCATCTGCTGATGGCGCCCCCATAAATTACAAGCATAAATAAAATAAATACAACATAGCGTTTAAACCAAGACTTATTATACTGTAACCAGTTTGCTTCGTGACGTATTGAGCGATAGGCCTTATCAGCAGCGGCGTATAACAAATAAAGTCTACTTGAAATAATATTACACGCTCTTCTTACTGACAGCCCGTATTGAGGAATGGTGTTTGTTTGTTTGTTTTTGAATTTCGCGCAAAGCTACACGAGGGCTATCTGCGCTAGCCGTCCCTAATTTAGCAGTGTAAGACTAGAGGGAAGACAGCTAGTCATCACCACCCACCGCCAACTCTTGGGCTAATCTTTTACCAACGTCACATTATAACGCCCCCACGGCTGAAAGAGCAAGAATGTTTGGTGGGACGGGAATTCGAATCCGCGACCCTCAGATTGCGAGACGAGCGCCCTAACCACCTGACCATGCCGGGCGTTGAAGAATGATCTCTTTAAAATATTCGGCTTTTAAATTCTCGCTTGTTTAGAAAAAGAAAAAGTCAAGATAAAGGGATGTCGACACTTGACGAGCACAAAGAAATGTTGTCAGAGCGTCTAGACGTAACGAGGCATTTACTAACACGAAAGAAACTTTTTGGATATTTCTTCTTCACCTAACACCACTTTAAAGTAGTGATGGTACTGGAACACATATGGTATAGGCTGAAAAATAAAAGCCGTTGATTTCGAAGTGTGGCAGGAAGTTCGTGTGGGTTTTTTTATTGTTGTTGATGTTTTTTTAAGAACGGGGTCAAAGGGTTAACTGTCGTAGCCATGGACTTGACTCTGCTGAGAGTGCACTGTTCCTGATTGGATTGTGGTGTCGTTCCGCACTGTTCCTGATTGGATTGTGGTGTCGTTCCGCACTGTTCCTGATTGGATTGTGGCGTCGTTCCGCACTGTTCCTGATTGGATTGTGGTGTCGTTCCGCACTGTTCCTGATTGGATTGTGGTGTCGTTCCAGAGACCTTTTCTGTACTAAACGCTCTGCGGTGCGAGTTTTTCCGTTTCCATGGGAACGTTGAAGGCTTCTTTCTCAGAAATGTTTAACAGTTTCGCTGTTTATTGTTTCTCTAGTGATAAGCCTACCTGTGGCAACATTGTACTGTCCAGAACTCGCGATTTTAGCTCGAACCAAATATATATAGGTGCTAAATACATCGTCCGTGGCGCTACTACCAGTATCTGCGATGACGTGTCACTGCATAACTGTGTGCAAAGCGTCGGATATAGCAACAATTAACTGTTTGAAACATATTTTGCGTACATGTTCACATCCTAATTAACTGATAACTTTTAGCTGTGCCAAAAAATTACTTTAATACTAATTATAAGACTGAACGTAGTGTGACAGTGAAAAAGAATCCTATAAGCGATTTTTTCCCATCCAATACCCCAATCTATTTATTTCTCGACATCTTCATTTAAACAAAACATTGATAAAATTCGATTGCTGCAAATTGTTTCTAGAATCCTGATGTCGGTTCACCATGCATAGTTTGTAATATTAATTGAGTGTTAAATATGTTAATAAAGAGTTTTGTGGTATTCGGGACGTGTTAAATATGTTGTAAAGAGTTTTGTGGTATTCGGTACGTGTTAAATATGTTAGTAAAAGGTTTGTGGTATGGTATTCAGTACGTGTTAGATATGTTAATAAAGAGGTCTTGTGGTATGGTATTCAGTACGTGTTAGATACGTTAATAAAGAGTCTTGTGGTATGGTATTCAGTACGTGTTAGATATGTTAATAAAGAGGTTTGTGGTATGGTATTCACTACGTGTTAAATACGTTAATAAAGAGTCTTGTGGTATTCAGTACGTGTTAGATACGTCAATAAAGAGTTTTGTGGTATGGTATTCACTACGTGTTAGATATGTTAATAAAGAGTCTTGTGGTATTCAGTACGTGTTAGATATGTTAATAAAGAGGTTTGTGGTATGGTATTCAGTACGTGTTAGATATGTTAGTAAAGAGGTTTGTGGTATGGTATTCAGTACGTGTTAGATATGTTAATAAAGAGTCTTGTGGCATTCAGTACGTGTTAAATACGTTAATAAAGAGTCTTGTGTATTTCAGTACGTGTTAAATATTCCAATAAAGAGTCTCGTACAATTCTTTATGCTGTAATTAATTATATAATGACGTCTTAGGAACAATCCTTATGTTAAGCTGCATATAAAGTATGAACCTTGTACTTTATGGTAAATACGTTGATAAGGAAAATTGTGTTCTTCTAGTATGTGATGAATATGCCCGATGATGATGCTCGAAGGATGGACGAAATGAGGAAGTATGCTGCAATATATGGACGATTCGACTGCAAGAGAAAACCAGAAAAACCGTTAACATTACACGAGGTTTGTTAGAGACTGACTTTAGAACTGAATGATAATATTGTGACGTATTGTTCATGTTGTATTAGTATGTGTGAAATGTTTCCTTTAGAACTGAATGATAATATTGTGACGTATTGTTCATGTTGTATTAGTATGTGTGAAATGTTTCCTTTAGAACTGAATGATAATGTTGGAACAATACGTCAACATACTAATATAACACGTGAAATGTTATAAAAGTGTATATGCGTTATCAATTGATCTAACATTTATATCTATATTCTTGAATAATCTACTTAATAATGTATTATATAAAACTCATCGTTAGTTTGTTTTAGAAGTTCGCGCAAAGCTACACGAGGGCTATCTGCGCTAGCCGTCCCTAAAATACCAGTGTAAGACTAGAAGGAAGACAACTAGTCATCACCACCCACTGGCAACTCTTGGGCTAATCGAATAGTGGGATTTGACTGTTACTCTTATAACGCATCCCCACCCCACCCCAAAATGAGAGCGAAACTTATTTTTTCATTAACGGGACTCGAACTATGGACACCTCGATTACATATTTCGGCACGCTATGCCCAATAACTCACTGGAAAATTTCTTTTATTCTATTAAAAAGAAAACGTGAAGAATTAAAGAAACGAAAATGATATATTTCATATTGATATATATATAAAACAATTACAGTGAAGGGTAAAGTTTTCTGTGATAACAAAAAAAATATATATATATATACTGTCTTAAACATAGTAATCCGGTTTCCGTTTGTGGCACATCTGGGAAATTTCATCCTTCAATATCGCGCTGCTTAAGTCGTTTCCTAGTAACGGGTAAATTTTTGTGAGGTACCTCGTATCTATAATGTGTTTGTCTTCCATCGGTAGTCAGCTCCAGAATTTCATACAGCATTTTAGAAATAAAATAGTGCAACTTAATAACATATTGGAACGCTATTTTTTAAAAGATAAATACCATATTTTACTAGGCTGAAGTTGAAAGAAACTTGAGCATATATCAGCGGAGAAATAAAAAGGTAAAAACACTGACCCAATAAATCATAAAATCTTATTTCTTTATAAATGTGTAAGTTATTTTTCAATCCAAAATAATTTACATGATCCAGTCAAATGGCATCTCTTCAAGATGAACTTGGCAATGTCATACATTAACTGAATGGGGACAGCATAACTGTGTTGTAGAATAAAGTTAACGTAATTAGGGATACCATTTTCTCTTTAATGAACATAGCTGTAGGAGACAAATTTAAAATGAGGGGAGGAGGGTATTTCAGAGTGCGCCATAGGCGCTCCCATTACACCCGGGGTCCAGAGTTTGCCATTGGGACCTGGAAGCTCTTAGGTTTTAGATGGAATTTTATGAATTTTCCTGCTTTTCCTGAGAATAATTTTTCTAATTTGTATGCATTTTTTTCTTGGAAAAATTGAAAAGAGGGGGTGAGGGGTGATGGGCGGGCCCACCGAAACCTACGCCATTAATGATGAATGATACAAATTGAGCATGGAAAATAAAGCTCGAATGTTTCGATGGACTTCTAAATTTTTTGAATATAGTTTAGCCGTTTAAGCCCAGACTAGAAGCTAGAAATCATTATAGAAACCATGACAAATTTTCTTAGGCCCGGCATGGCCAGGTGGTTAAGGCACTCGACTCGCAAGCTGAGGGTCGCGTCACACCAAACATGCTCGTCCTTTCAGCCGTGTGGGCGTTATAATGTGACGGTCAATCCGTTGGTAAAAGAGTAGCCCAATAGGTGGGTGGTGATGACTAGCTGCCTTCCCTCTAGTCTCACACTGCTAAATTAGGGACGGCTAGCGCAGATAGCCCTCGTGTGGCTTTGCGCGAAATTCAAAAAACAAAACAAACAAATTTTCTTCTGTTTTTAGTGGTCGTGAATATTATATTAGCTTTCTGAGATATTATTTTAGTTTAGGAAAAATAGTCTTTGTTACTGAATATTTACAGATCTCTCTCTCTTGAATTCTAAGCAAATTTATTTTGTGACAACAATTATGGTTTTAAAAAAACGACAATAAAATTAATGATTAATATTTTTAAACACGTAGTACTAAATGGCACATACTGTTTTCTGAACGGGAATTTAATCGATTATGTATACATATTTATTTATTTCCTGAATTATTAAGTACAATTTCTTTTTTTTTCCAGTATTATGTATTTTACATTGTAAAATTACAAGTCGTAAATTTTCTCAAAAAATTTTCCAGGTTTCCGTGAACGAAGCCGCTGCTCAGATCTGTAAACACATACCTGCCCTCCTCACCCGAAGAGATGAACTTTTCCCCTTGGCCCGACAGGTGGTGCGGGACAGTGGATATCAGTATTCAAAAGGCCATTCCAGGTATTGAGCTTTTTGTCTCGTTTGTAAAATAGATGTACGTTCCCTACATGTAATGGAAAAACATTCGTCGGTAAATCAAAATATAACAATATATATATATTATTTATTCGTGTCGTTTATTTGTTTGACTAACCTTTTAGATTATTGTCCAAAAAGCGTAAGTTTATTACATGATAAGGTCCTCAAGAGTTGAAGGTCGATAATGCTGATGACAGCATTGTTTATTCGTACGCTGTATAGTTTTCACTTTCCATGCCATTGTTCATTAAACAATGTTTTTTCGTTTTAGTATGATATATTTTGCATGTTTAACAGTGCTGAAGGTTTATGGTGTAAATACATTGTCATCACAAAGTTATTAAACTTATTTATCAGAACCTAAAACCATTTGCTTGTTCGAAGTTCTTTACGAAACATTAGTCACCTTTCAACTTTAACAATGATAAGTATGTGAACATGACATCCCGCTTTACCTTTCATAAGTTTAGTTATATATGTATGTGTAAACACGGCATCCCCCTTTACCTTTCATAAGTTTAGTTATATATGTATGTGTAAACACGGCATCCCCCTTTACCTTTCATAAGTTTAGTTACATATGTATGTGTAAACACGGCATCCCCCTTTACCTTTCATAAGTTTAGTTACATATGTATGTGTA